TTTTAAAGTCAGCAGCTACATTTTAAATTAATTTTAAATTAACGTTTTAGTATCCAAAATCGAACCTAATTTTAGGTGCAATTTTCGGATTCAGAACCTAAATTAGGACCAGCTGAACCGGGGGCCGGACATTTCTAAAAAATCGTAGAGTATGGCTTTAAGGCTTCCTCAGCTCCAGCCAATAATAGAAGGAAAACTACAGAAAACTACCTCAATATTATTTATTTCGCTATTATCCAAATGACCCTCCATAGCGTGTACCTTTCTTTATCTGATCACCTACATTATGCCATTTAAATTTTGGAGACTGCTCTTGTACTTTCAAATTAAACCAAAATTGAATACCAAACCGAATTAATTGTTCTGTTAACTTTCTTTATATTGTCATTTTTAATTGTACGATATTGATCCATTCTGCAAATTAATTCATCACTTATCTTTTGTATAAAGGGGTGATTAAGATTGGAAACCCGCGAGACGCAAGGGTAGTATAACTTTGTTGTCGAATTTTGATGGGCGTCATCGCGGCAATAATATTTTGACCCTCACGCTTTGTAACAAGTTTATATGAGTACTTTATTAATTCTTCAGTATGACATATAATAAAGGATTCGATTCGAAATGATCATCAGTATAATATTTTATCCCGTTCAGAGTCTTTATACAATTCATCAGCGGCATTAAAAATCAGTTCAAGTATCATTCTTTGAAGTGCAAAATTTACCAATAATTTGAAGCCTTCATCAACCATGCGAATTTTGCTTTCGTATTTTTCCAATAAACATAATGCCGACTTTTCATTTATAACATAGTATTTCCCCTTAACTTTAGTAAAATTGTCAACCTTTTGGTGTAATTTTTCAATTGCCTTTGTCAGCTGAATAGGATTGTTAAAGGTATCATCACTCCAACGAATATTAGTGGCGCTTCCAAGTTGAGCTTGATAAATAACAGCTTCATTTCGATCTCTTGTCTAATTCGTTCTAATTCGTTTTGCATATGCTCATATTCTGACTTGAAATGATTTTTTAATTGTTCTTTTACTTTTAAAATTTTACTATTCTGTTCTATCTGTTCATAAAGAAACTTTTTCGAGTTTTCAGGCTCTTGTTGATGTTGTACTATTTGAACCTTTATTTCTTGCAGCTCTTGAGTTAACTTTGCAAGCTTCGTTGCATTTTTTATAGATTACAGTAATAAGGATTTGTAGTGAAATGATATCCTTCTAATTAAGTTGGTCCTGATAAATACAACTTATGAATTGATGAACCATGAAACGTATTACCGATCGCTGAGAAATCGTCAATTGATTTACATAAAAGAGTATGCTCTTGGCACTGTTAACCTTCATTTTTAAAGATTTAAAAATTCTATCTAACACATCATCTCGTATGTTAGAATCTTGTGTTTGCCTGTAGGTGTTGCATTGGCTTAAAAATTCAACGCCCTCGTCGTACACATTTTGGTGGATCATTTCGGCCGTTCGAATTTCATGTATTTCACACTTTAAAACACTCAATCCTTTTTCAAAATCATCATTGGCATGTGCCTGTTTGTCTTTTGATTCCAAAGTAAGAATGATCCATTTTAATAAGGAATACTGCAAATTACCGATGTGCTGAACTACTCAATGAATTGCCGATGATTTGAAGCAATAGTAGATTCTTGGATTTTCAGAATGATCCAAGTTACTGTTAAGGGGCTTCAAATTAACTTTTTCAAAAATAAGTGAGATTTAAAAGATCCTATTTTCTTTTTTAAAATTCCGAATCAGAAATTAAATAGGCGCAGCCGGTGATAATATTGGATTTTTTGATAAACATTCACCGGTAAGCGATTATGTAAATAAGTCATTCTTTGAAAAAAAAATAGAATTTGTACGTCGCTTCTTTTGAAATAAATATGTCACTTATTTTATTTGAAATTGGACGTCGAATCATTAATTCTGAAATCTCTAATAAACACAATTTAAATTGTATTACTCAAATAATGGTGCAAAATTTTGTACTACAAGTACACATTTATTTAAATGCAGGTTCAGACTTACGTTTTTTTCGTATTCAAAAGCAAGATGATGAGGATTTATTATAATCTGTTTCATCAATCATTCCTTATTAATAAAACTCCTTCAGCAATGGGATATGGTGAAGCAATAGATTTACTTGGACAAGGTTATGTAAATGGAGTGCAAAAATTAGGGATTGAAAAAGATGAACGTAAGGCATTCTTTCATTTTCAAAAATCTGTTGAAATGGGAAACGCTTCTGCAATGAAAAATCTCGGATATTGCTATGAAAATGGGTTAGGAATTGAAAAGGATGTGCATAAAGCATTTATTCATTATCAAAAATCCGCGGATATGGGAAACGCTTCTGCAATGAAAATCCTTGGATATTGTTATCAACATGGAATAGGAGTTGAACAGGATGGACACAAGGCATTAATTCATTATCGAAAATCTGTAGATATGGGAAACAAAGATGCAATATGCCAAATTGGATTCTGTTATCTAAATGGAATTGGAGCTAAAAAAGATGAATATGCAGCATTTGCTCTTTTCAAAGTATCTGCTGCGTTTGATTATTCTAACGGTATGTCTCAACTTGGTTACTGTTATCGAAATGGGGTTGGAACTTCAAGAGATTTAAAGAAAGCAGACTATTGGTATCAAAAGTAAATATAATTAATCTAATTTTACCGTAATTATAAATTAATTTCTAATATTTATATATATTTTTAATACATAATTAGGGCAGAAAAAAATAAGATGTCAGGTAATCTAAAATTATTTAAATAACTTTTAATATATTTTAAATTTAATTGCTAATATGTTTTTAGGAATAGATGTATGTGTAAACGAAAATTCTAACATCGATGACGAAGTTAAAAAATTATTAGCCGAAGAAAAATATCCATTATCATGGATTTCATATAATGAATTTGTGGGTATTGAAAAAGTAGGACATGGTGGATTTGCGACAGTATTTTATGCTGATTGGATAGATAAAAAGCGAAATCTTTGGAGAAATGTCGCACTTAAGTTACTTCACGGATCAAAATTTCAAAATAAAGAGTTTATGAAAGAGGTAACTTTTATTTTAATACACATTATTTTCTCTAACGGTTTATACATATTAAGTATTCTATTTGATATTAAAGCTAAAGGCATATTGTGATATTTGTTCTAAACATCCTACATTTTTAAAATGCCATGGAATAACTCCGGAGATTATATCCTTGTATTATAATATGCAAAAATGGGATCTTTGCGCGATAATCTCCACTCTGTAGCACAAATGAAATTGAAAGATAGATTAATAATATTGCATTGCATTGCTTCTGATCTTCAAATAATTCATTCTCAAGAACTTATTCATCGAGATTTGCATAGTGGTAATATCCTTCAAGATAATTTACATAGTGCATATATTGCAGATTTAGGACTTTCAATATCAGCAAATATAGCATTAAATGCGGAAAGACATGGAGTTTATGGAATTTTACCATATACAGCACCAGAAACTTTAGAAAGAGGTCATTACTCGACAGCATCAGATATTTATTCATTTGGCATAATTATGTGGGAAATTTTATATGGAATGCCTGTGTCTTATAATCAAGAAATTGGACCAAAACTTCAAATTGAAATATGTCGTAACGATTTACGGCAATAATTACCGAGAATACTCCGCAATGTTACGTAAATCTGATGAAGAATTGCTGGGAAAGGGATCCAATAGACCGTCCATCGGCAATAAAAATCTGTGAAATACTTACAGCATGGCAAAATGATGAAAGTATTTTATTTGAGCTAACTAAATCGGATGAACTATTAAAAAATATCCAAAGTATACATGATATTCAAACTTACTCTGGCGACAGTTATAAGAGTAAATTTATTAGTTATACTACAACATTTTATGAAGGTAACAGTACTATAATTTTATAAAAAATTTAGGAAATTACTATTCATACCGTTATTTTTGTTATTCGTACCCTAAACTTAATCATCGCATCGTATGATGTCGGGCTCCAAAATTCAAACACCGCATTCGATTAGTAATTACTAATCAAAAAAGCGGAGTTTGAATTTTGGAGCCCCGAAATCATACAATGCGATGATTAAGTTTAGGGTACGAATAACAAAAATAACGGTATATGGGGGGCTCCACAGCAAAAGGTGATGGGTCAAAAAAAAATTTTTTATAAAAACTTCATTTTTGCAAAAATTAGATCATTTAGAACACAATATCAAA